AAAAGCCCTTTCTTCTATATGCCTGTGGAAATTTTTCAGTCAGCTGAGTCTATGGTAAATTCACAGCATAAGCTTCTACTGTGTAGACCGGTGTCCTAGAGATGTCAAGAGACGCCTTGACAGCCCAGTTCAAGTATCACAAAACGGATACATTGTTTGAATAGGCGGAAAGTGAGAACCTACAACTATCCTGGTGTGGCTGCTTGAATTTCTGCAAATTGTAGGACTTTTGATACATTTACAATATTTTTAATCTGTATGGAAACAAGTGGATGACTTGATTTTCTGATTACTCAAAATTTCCTGTTGAGTTAAAAGGAAAGTTTCAACTTTCAATATTGTTAAACTATTGTTATATTTAAAAAGAGAGTTTTAACCTGCAATATTGTTCTGTGTGTTCTTAAAGTTACAGAACATTATATTCTCTGCAAGAGACTTCCCTTGTTCTAAATAAACCATCCTTTGGAATCAGAGAAAAAGAGAACTAATGTATTTTTACTCTTACATATGTTGTATGCTGTTATATACAAAGAGTGCTCCTGTTGTATGGGTTTGGATTTCTTGTAATTCCTCGTTTAAGGCTGTATAATTTTAGTCTTTGTGTTTCATGGGCATCACAATGTGTATAACCATTTAAGTGTGTGCTAAGGTTTAGCAAATCTCACTGATCAAGTGTATTTAAAGGGTCCCTACTGTCAGCACTTGTGGTAGTGAGCCCTTGTAGATAGTCAACGTGGGGTTCCCCAGGGCGCGGAGTCTAAGCCCCAGCCTGCTTCTTCACCAGAGTCCCTGATGGTGGCCTAGACTGAGCATGTCTCATGTAAGCAGGCAAACAAGGAAGCTGGCCAGGAAGTGATGGAAGTGAAGGAAATAAAACACCAAGAACAGCAGACGATGCCCATAGTTGAGCACAGACAAACACATGTGAAAGAGGGAGATGTGGTGGTACTCCGCCCTGTCACCTACAACAAGTGTAAACATTGTATTTAAATCTAGGCTGTGGTGCCACGATCCCTGCTCCTGATCCCCTTTCCTTTCTGTGGCCAAGCTGTAATTCTTTTATGAGTTAAAAGGAGGGCTTCTTTGCTGTCATAATAGTGGAAACCCTATTATCATGTTTCCTCTCCTCTTAAGATGAGCTCCTGCAGGTGGTTTGGGCCTCAGTGATCTGTGTGTGTGAGATAGAATAGTGAATAAGCCCACTAGATATTGATGGAATTCAGAGTCTCCCACTGCTTCTCTGAGGGATATATTTTGACTGTGTTCCATGTTTTCTAAATCTTCTTGTTTGATATCTGAAGTTGGGAGACAGTGTGGTTTATTTGATAAAACTGGAAAGTGTAAAATCTGGTGCAACGCTGCATTTTATTGTCAAAGCTTAATTAAACAAGTTAACTTTAGAAGCTGATTGGCTACCATGCACAGCTACATTGGATGCTGAGTGCTCCAGTTTTAGTAAATCTCCACCAGTCTGTTTTAGGACCAAATTACTGTATCTGCTTCGAACATATTGGACTAGATCATCAAACTTAGGCTCTAAGTTATCTTTACATTCACACAATTTCCCCCTCCGCTCTTGTGAAATGTTTTTCCATTTCAAGATAGATATTGTGAGTTAGAATTTGTAACAGTACCTGTAGTTTCTCCTCCAGCACATTGATGGTTAAATCAGGCACTATTGGAAGAGGGTGTGAAGATGAGGCGGTGCCCTTGTCTTCTCCCATAGCCCCGAGCCAGTCTGGAGACTCTGCCAGGTAGATGGAAGTACTCGAGGTTGGGGAAGCGGACCTGGTTAAGTAGCAGTCAAGCGGCTATAGCTGGGGAAAGTGGAGGTTTGGCAGAGTTCCAGTGTTAAACATCCACCATGGTGGGCTGCCGTGCCTGCTCCCCCGTAATAAGCTTTATATAGTAAGTGATACATTAAAAATTTACTTCAAAAACATAACATTTAAAACATAAATTAAATGAAGTTAGTAAGATTATATTATTATACACACTAATAAAGCATAATGAGAGAAACATAGGTACTTCTCTCATCCCATTTCTGAAAATAATAATGCCTTTGCCTTTTAATACTTTGAATGACTAACCAGGAAGGAATATGCAAATCAGGATTTTAGAAAACTAATTCTGGCTTTCCTGGATGCCTACTTGTTCTAGGACAGTGAGTTAGAAAGTATTGGTGCCAATGGATCAGAATGTAACCAGTAGTTTCAGATGTCCCTATTTTGCTAGCACAGTTTTCTTCAGTGTGGCATTGTATAGTCAATGATGATGTGTTTCTTCCTTTTTGACCTTGCAGTGATGGATTTTTGAAATTGTCTGCTTGATGATGTTTAGTTTTATTAGCAGGTTTCTAGTCACTTTAGGGAATAACAACTTGAATGCATTGATTCTATTAACTTTCTGTAGCAGTTCAGGGGATTTATAAATTCAGGCATATCCAGCCTTTTGCAAACATATGATCTGGAATTGGGTTTTTTTTCAAGCTCAGTCCACCCTCCCAGAGACCAACTTTTGCAATTTGGTGTTAAAATCCTTTAATTATAAACATTTCCCAATCACCATAGTGGCAACAGCTCAACACTTTAACCCATCTGCATCAACCACCCATTGTATCTTCCAGCAGTATTCCAGTTATGTACAACATGTCTATTACAGCCTAGCCTCTTTAATACATTGTCCCTGTGACCTAATATGTAAGCCATTGCATTTGCAAATTTTTTTTTTTGTTTAGCTCTCTAAGCTTCCAAATGCAGCTCCCCTGCCTGTAGTAGTGATTCATGTGGTTCAGCTAACCACGCTAATCAGTGATCCAGTCCATTCCGTCATGTTTTCAATTATTCAGTTTACTCTTTCATGTTTTCTGTCATTCTAATACATTCCTTCAGGACTCCTGCTGTCAAAGTATTTTTTACAGCTTGCCAGCAATCTCTGAGAGTACCCTATCCAAGGCTCTCTTTTCCAAGCTGGTCCTGATCAGACCACTTGTCTCACCACAGACTATGAAGTCCAAGTTTTTGGTCCTCCTGCTTTCATCCCTGGATGCTTTGTTTCCTATTTTTTTTTTTTATCTCAGCCACTCTTGCTTTCTCCTGTTGCTTGGTGATTGTAATGTTAGCCAAGTAGCCTGTTATTCTAGCTTTGAAAATATCTTTTATTTCAAGGAACATTTGAGTAAAGAGTACTCTTTGGGCTTTGCAGGTGCCCTTTGTAGGTACTTTGGGGGGAATCTTTGAGTTTACCAGTGTTATAAAATATCTAAAGCTCTGCCAGAGGATTTGGTGATCCTGGCAAAAAACAACACAGGGATTCTCATTTCTGTGAATAATCTTGTAATCAAACTATAAGGCTATTTTATACACTGTAGCAGTTGGTTTTCGCAAAATGTAGGAGTATAATATGTAAAGTATTGATTATGCAGTTACTGTTAGGGGTTAACTTTACAAAGGGGTTATCCATTTATTGTGTATATTTTACAACCTGTCTGTAAAGCAAACAGTTATCTCACTGACCCTGGCAGCAGGCACCTACCTATCTGTTTGACGCCAGTGAGAGAACCCTGGTAGACCACACTACTAAGACACCCCATTTTTCCACCCAAATTTGTCTTTTGAAGCACCTACTTGTCCATCTCTGTCCCAAACTTGCTTACCCACTTGCATACCTGATTCTGCTGGCAAATTTTCTTGTGATTCAATTCCAGACAAGGATGTAAAAGGTTTGTAGTAAGATCTAGAAGACTGACTTGTAATTTTATTTTCTTATTTGTGTCTTGCTAAAAGCTTTTACTTTTTTAAATTACTTTTTCTGTCACTTTTTAAATAGCATTTTTTTCCCTTTCTTGTCTTCCTTCAGTCTGCTAATTAAGGGGAGGGGTTAATTGGTCACAGGTGATACAGGTACTATATAACTTGCTGTAGAGCTCACTCTTGAGCTTGCCTGTATTTTCCTTTCTGGACCTTTGACCAAGTGGACATTTGATAAGTGTTGATAAGCAACTGTTTCTATGTGAGAAGTGATCTCAGAGTGAGTGTGAAAGAGGACCTAGTTGATGGAGAATGTGATGAGGCTGAAGCATTATGGGTGGAATTGTACATAGGGGTGCGTACTACAAAGATAATCAATGGAGTTTGTTATAGACCTCCCAGTGTTAATGAGGAGGTGTCAGGGATGCGGGTGTGACCAGAGATGTGTATACTGACACAGGGAAACACAGGCTCCAGATATGGTATAAACAAGACAATTTATTAAGACTAACAATACAAACATAAATGCAGTGCACCAAACCCCAAGCTAACACAAATACATACAACAAGGTGAAACAAACCCAAACCTAAACTGGTATAGATACACACAGGTACATACACATATAGAGCACAAACGTAGTCAGGCAGGCCGGGTCGATAACTATCGGGCAGGTAGGTACAGGAGGATCAGGCGGAGAGAATGGTCAGGGTCACAAGCCAGGGATAAAACAGGAGAAGTCAGCAGAGGTCAGGATCAGGCAGGGTTGGCAACAAGTCAGGCAGATACAGGAACAGGAATGCAGGTTACAAGGTACAGGGGCCCATGGAAAAACACACACCAAGGCACAGACTGCAGGTCTGGCCATCCCTTAAATACACCTGCAATCAGCCCCAGGTGATGGCTAATTGCCAAAGTGAACCTCTGGTTGTTGAGAGCACCCGCTGGCCAGCCCTGGTACTGCAGCCCACTAGGCAGGTGAGTCCCACCACTATTGGCAAGTCCATTCCTGACAGTAGCCCCCCCCCTCAAGGAGCGGCCTCAGGACGCTCCAAACAGTCCTAGCTGGGCAAAATGTTCCACCGCCTGGGTCCGGTGACTGGCGGGATATCAAAGACTGGCACATCGGGCTGGGCACCGGATGGAGGCACTTTGAGCTGGGCACCGGACGGAGGCACTTCGGGCTGGACACCGGACGGAGGCACTTCGGGCTGGACACCGGAAGGAGGAGCAGCGGGCACCGGGCCCCCAGGCGGAGCAGCGGGCACCAGGCAACCAGGCAGGGCAGCAGGCACCAGGCCATCTGGCTCGACAGCGGGCATCGGGTCACCAGGTACAACAGCGGGCAACGGGTCATCAGACATTGGATCGTCTTGCTCGACCGCGGGGCACCAGGTCATCTGGCTCAACAGCGGGCATCGGGTCACCAGGCATCAGGTCATCTGGCTCGACAGCGGGCTCCGAGTCATCTGGCAAGGCAGTGGGCACCGAGTCACCAGGCGTGACAGCTGGCTCTGAGTCAACTGGCACAACAGCGGGCATCGGGTCACCAGGTATGACAGCGGGCACTGGGTCATCAGGCATTGGATCTTCTGGCTCGACAGCGGGCATCGAGTCATCAGGCACAACAGCGGGCATCGGGTCACCAGGCATGACAGTGGGCACTGGGTCATCAGGCATTGGATCGTCTGGCAAGACTGCGGGCACTGAGTCATCTGGCAAGATCGTGGGCACCGAGTCATCTGGCAAGACCGCGGGCTCCGAGTCATCTGGAAGGACCGCGGGCTCCGAGTCATCTGGCAAGACCGCGGGCCCCGAGTCACCAGGCACAACAACGGGCTCTGAGTCAACCGGCCCGACAGCGGGCTCTGAGTCAACTGGCGGAACAGCGGGCACCGAGTCGTCTGGCAAGACTGCAGGCACCGAGTCATCTGGCAAGACTGTGGGCACCGAGTCAACTGGCGGAACAGCGGGCATTGAGTCGTCTGGCAAGACTGCGGGCACCGAGTCGTCTGGCAAGACTGCGGGCATCGAGTCGTCTGGCAAGACTGCGGGCACCGAGTCATCTGGCAAGACTGCAGGCACCGAGTCGTCTGGCAAGACTGCGGGCACCGAGTCAACTGGTGGAACAGCGGGCATCGAGTCGTCTGGCAAGACTGCAGGCACCGAGTCATCTGGCAAGACTGCGGGCACCGAGTCAACTGGCGGAACAGCGGGCATCGAGTCGTCTGGCAAGACTGCGGGCACCCGAGTCGTCTGGCAAGACTGGGCACCGAGTCGTCTGGCATAATAGGATCATCAGGCTGGATCAGTTCATCAGGCTGGGTAGAGACATCAGGCTGGGTAAGGACATCAGGCTGGGTAAGGACATCAGGCTGGGTAGAGACATCAGGCTGGGTAGAGACATCAGGCTGGGTAGAGACATCAGGCTGAATTGTGGGCGCCAAGGCACCAGGCTGCACCACGGAAGGCGGGTTCTCAGATGGCAGGCTGACCGGTTTGGATACTGGCAGGATGGTATTGGTTGGAAAGAATTTTCGCCTTTTCCTGGTTTTAGTTACCGGAGCACTGTAAGTAAGCGCAGGTTTGTAAACAGATGGAGCAGCTGAAGACAGAGAAGAGCTGGAGGATGGAACAGAGGAGGGAGCAGTTGCTACAGAGGACTTCTTTACAGGGTTGAAAAAAAGATAGGTGCAGCGAGTGGGAGCAGGGGACTGGTATGTGGTAGTTAGTAGAGTATACTGGACCATCACTGGGGGTGCTGTCGGGGATGCAGGAAGAGTGCCTTGAGCAGAGGAATGATGTTGCAAGCCGACTGAGGCTGGGTGTAACAAATCTGTCCATGTTTGCAGTACTGGTTTAACAAAACTCAGCTTACACATAGCCTGTCTGATCAAAGACTGCACTGCGTTTATGCAATCCATAAGCACATGTGATGGACATGCTACATAGTGCTCATGGAAACAATCTGGATCATCCTCCGACAACCATACCAGTGATTCCACTTGATCCACACTAAATGGGGCAAAAAAGTCATTCCTGCTTTCAGGGGTACAGGACCGAGCCAACTCAGCACAAACCTGGATCAATGGCTGCACCTCAGAAAACTCTGTGCCCTGATCAACTAGACAATGAGCGATCCTTATACACTCTAGCAGTTGATCCCTGGGATACTCCTTCAGAGTCTGATAAGCATAGTCTTTGTCATCAAACACTAGCAGAGATAAATACACCACCTCATCAAGATCCATCCTTCCCAGCAACAATAAGCCAAGATGGCTTCCCTGTGCAGCCACTTCTGGTCAGGATTGGCCTTGGTGTAATGTCAGGGATGCGGGTGTGACCAGAGATGTGTGTACTGACACAGGAAAACACAGACTCCAGATATGGTATAAACAAGACAATTTATTAAGACTAACAATACAAACATAAACGCAGTGCACCAAACCCCAAGCTAACACAAATACAGACAACAAGGTGAAACAAACCCAAACCTAAACTGGTATAGATACACAGGTACATACACATATAGAGCACAACGTAGTCAGGCAGGCCGGGTCAATAACTATCGGGCAGGTAGGTACAGGAGGAGCAGGCGGAGAGAATGGTCAGGGTCACATGCCAGGGATAAAACAGGAGAAGTCAGCAGAGGTCAGGATCAGGCAGGGTCGGCAAAAAAGTCAGGCAGAAACAGGAACAGGAATGCAGGTTACAAGGTACAGGGGCCCATGGAAAAACACACACCAAGGCACAGACTGCGGGTCTGGCCATCCCTTAAATACACCTGCAATCAGCCCCAGGTGATGGCTAATTGCCAAAGTGAACCTCTGGTTATTGAGAGCACCCGCTGGCCAGCCCTGGTACTGCAGCCCACAAGGCAGGTGAGTCCCACCACTATTGGCAAGTCCATTCCTGACAGGAGGTGAAGACTCCGCTCCTTGCACAGATCAAAAGGGCTGGTACAGTGATAATAATGGGGGATTTTAACTACCCAGAAATTGACTGGAGTAATGGTACTGCAGGAACAGTTAAAGGACAAAACGTTTTAAATCTACTACAGGACAATTTTATGGTACAGTTTATAGAAGCCCCAACTAAAAATGATGCGCTGCTGGACCTGGTAATGTCAAACCATGCAGAGCTTATTACAAATGTCCATATAAAAGAACATCTGGGTAGCAGTGACCATAACACGATTTCATTTATTGTTAGCTGTAAACCGCAAGCACATACAGGAAAAATAAAAAATGCTCAATTTTAGGAGAGCTAATTTTTCAAGGTTGCGGTCCTTAAAGAATTGAGCTCTGTCATTTCTAATTTTTAGGGACTGTTTAATGACTGGCATAGTACCACTGGATTGGTGTAAGGCCAATGTGGTGCCAATATTTAAAAAGGGGTCAAAACCTTTACCAAGTAATTATAGATCTGTTAGTTTTACTTCTATAGTTGGGAAGATACTGCAGAGTTTAATAAAAGACCACATAGATGAGTTCTTGCTGGTAAAAAATATTTTAAGCAACAAACAGCTTGAATTCATGAAAGACAGAAGTTGCCAAACAAATCTTATTTCTTTTTATGAGAAGGTGAGCAAAACCTTGGATAGAGGGGTGGCAGTGGACGTAGTATATTTGGATTTCACACACAGATAATGTGTAAAGCAAAGTCTACAGGCTTGGAAAAATCTGCATGTATTCAGAGAGTAGTGGTTAATGATTCATACTCTGAATGGTCTAGGGTTGTCAGTGGTGTACCCCAAGGTTCAGTGTTGGGACCCTTACTTTATAATATATTTATAAATTATGTAGGGTCTTGGATTATAAATCCCATTTCAGTCTTTGCAGATGACACCAAGCTGTGCAGTGGAATAACGTCCTTACAGGATGTCTCCAACTTACAAGCCGACCTCAATGTACTGTTTAATTGGGCAACTATGTGGCAAATGAGGTTTAATGTTGATTTATTATTATACAGGATTTATAAAGCGCCGACAATTTGCTCAGCGCTTAACATTATGGAGGGAAACAGTACAGTAGCAATACAGTTCAATACAAGAGGGATTAGAGGGCCCTGCTCCTTGGAGTTTACAATCTAGGAGGGAGGAGATAGTGTTTACAAGAGGTAATTAGCTGTGGGGTATGGAGTGGTAGGAGGAGTACAGGATTCCAATATTAGCTGGGGTCGGGGTAGGCTTCCCTGAAGAGATGGGTTTTCAGAGTGTGCCTAAAAGTGAGCAGAGTAGGTGATAGCCTGATAGATTGGGGTAGAGAGTTCCAGAGGATGGGTGAAGCCCTTGAGAAATCCTGGAGGCGAGCATGGGAGGAAGAGACAAGGGAGCTAGAGAGTAGGAGGTCTTGCGAGAAGTGGAGAATACGGTTTCTCTGATCGCTTTTATGTTCTCTACTAGCTGTGGAGCTGTGACGATCTCCTGATTATAAATGTATTTTTCTCATCCATCTCTTATTGGGTTAAGCCCTCCCACACACCCACCCATACTGTAGAAGCCAAGCCTTATATAGGATATAAAATCTCGATAAGAAATCTTCTCACAGCCTTTCCTCACCTCATGATACTGAGAATTATTTTTAGTGTCAAAAGGTTTATTACTTTTCTCTGATACTTCTGTATCCCATTGTTCCTTCTCTCCTTTCTGCCTCTCCCCCCCCCCTTTTTTTCTTCCCCTCACCCTCTCTTCTTTCTTTTTCCTTTCTTTTTATTCTCCCTCTGTTAGGTTTTTTCTTCTATCAGAGTCTGGTCGAGACTGAACCTATTGCCCTTTATAGTACTGCTGATCACATTCTACCACTGACTTCACCTAAGTTAGTTCTTTATAGACATAATGGCATACTCATTGCTGGGGTAAACACCCATATTATTTCACATAATGTTAAAGGGCTTAACATCCCTGAAAGAAGGTCAACTTTATTAAGATAACTCAAAAAAATGAAACCCAAGGTAGTTTTTCTTCAAGAGATCCACTTTAAAACTGGTAAAATACCTAAACTGACAGACAACTTCTTTACTAAAGCTTTTCTAATAACAAACCCTTTGGCAAAAACAAAAGGAGCTTCTGTTTTGTTGAGCAGAGACTTTCAAGTTACAGACCAATTAATAGATCCAGATGGTAGATATGTTTTCCTTAAGGGTTTTCTGAAAGACAATCCCACTACTCTAGCAAATTGTATATTTTCCCAACAAAAAGTGTATTTTCCCAACACAGCACACAGTTCTTTCTGTCAACACATTATGGAAGAGTTTAAAGTGGTTCGCTACAGGATGTTTAATCCTAGGCGGGGATTTCAACATTTCCCTCAACCCGCTCCTAGATACTTCCACAGGCAAAACTTGCATATCATACAAAATCCTTAAGAGAATCAAATGCTTATTAAATTCATTGATATTGGTAGATGCCTGGAGAACAGTAAATCTGAAAGAGAAAGATTTCACTTTTTATTCTCCCCCACATGACCATTACTCCAGGATAGATTATCCCTTTTGATATCCCTAATATATTAGAAGCAAAGATCGGTATACAATCTTTTTCGGACCATAGTCCAAT